CGCCCGGGGTGGCCCGCTTCTCGCCCTACACCTTTAACGGAGGGTGAGGAGGCGCGGGCCGGGGATGGGGCGGGCTGAGGTACCCCCTTCCCGGGGAGGGCCTGAGGTACCCCCTTCCCGGGGAGGGCCTGAGGAGAGTGGTATTAGGGCTGCGTCTTCCTCCTCTTGCTTCTCCCCCCTCCCCCGGCTCTCTGTGAGGGCTTGACTCCCCCTGCGAGTACCTTTCTGTGGAGAAGGGGTGGCTGGGGCAGCGCGGGGGGAGAGCTGGGCTCGGCCTTGCCCTGGGCTGAGCATCCCGCCGGTCCCCGCGACTCTTCGGGGTGTTCTGCCGTGTCCATGTGGCTGCTGGCACGCTCGGGCTCCCTGAACATGTATGAGTCACAATGAGAATGTTCTCTTCCCTGCGGGGTTCTTCATAGCTGGTGGCTCAGGCGACTTGGGTAATGGTCATCTTACCGGCTTTTAAACCTGTGACTTCTCATAGCTGGTGAAAGCAGGTGATGTTTTACAGATGCACGCTGACAGGATCTGGCCAGGATAGTAGTATTAGATTTTTCTTTTTTCGTTTTTTTATAATGCCTGACTGCTCTTTAAAGAACATCTGTTTGTTACTTGTCATGGTTTAACCCAAACCAGGGCATTACTTAACGGTAACACACGTGTGGCAATCAAAAAACTAGTTGTTTGGAAGCAAATGACATAGGATACGATCAGATTAAAGAAGTGATGATAATTAAAGTGCAGTGATACTGACGCTTAGTACTTGGCTGGAGTGTTGTTGTTCGCAGAGCCAAACTCTTTCAGAAGGGTCGAGCTTTCATTAGCAGGCATCTAAAATTGCTGGTCCATTAAGGCTGGTTCTTGCCTGGTATAGAAACTGTTTTACCAAGTTTCGATGCAGTTTTTTTTAAATTTTATTTTTTACTTCTTTGAAGTGCAGTGATACTGACGCTTAGTACTTGGCTGGAGTGTTGTTGTTCGCAGAGCCAAACTCTTTCAGAAGGGTCGAGCTTTCATTAGCAGGCATCTAAAATTGCTGGTCCATTAAGGCTGGTTCTTGCCTGGTATAGAAACTGTTTTACCAAGTTTCGATGCAGTTTTTTTTAAATTTTATTTTTTACTTCTTTATATCCATGTAGTCAAAGCAAAGAATCACATACATACCTCTTCAGGGTGTCTGGTGTCTTCTTCTTCCAGCCTGGAGGCACATGTGGGGGTGGGCGTAGTGGGAAACAGGAATATGAGATGCTTGACAAAACAGGAGTCTGGGTATGGAACTGCTCTCTCGTCAATTCCTCTGTTGCCGAAGAAAATATTTGTGCTGAGTCACGCTTGTGTGAATGCTCTCTTTTAAGGACTGTGTTGGCGATTGCTGGAGAAGACTTTTCTATCGTTGCCTCGGACACACGACTGAGTGAAGGTTATGCAATTCACTGCCGGGACAGCCCAAAATGCTACAAACTGTAAGTCCAGATCTTCTAAGAATTGAGGCAGGTGAAAGATCTTTTGTATTGATGAGCACGTCACCTGCCTGGAATGACCTGTAGCTTCCTTTAAGCAGAATTCTCAGGAAAAAAGGATAGTAACAAAAGTGATTTTGGAGCCATGGTGACACTTGCTGTGGTGCAAGATGTGATGTAAACACAGCCAGAATTCTTGTTGTGTGCTCTTGAAGTTAGCTGCTAACAGAACGTTTTTAGCACGATGCAAGGTTTAATGTAAGCTAGGTGGGTTTTTTGGCTGGCTGGTGAGAAGTACTTTTGTCTTAGCTGTAGCAAGACTTAATCCTGTAGTAACTTGTTCTGCTGCGTTAGGACACCCGGTGTTGGTACGCAGGTGTGCCCACTGCTGCCAGATGTGCTGTGTGTCTCTAGCCAACCGTCTGGCACTTCGAAGAGGTGTTTGTTTAGGAGAGGTAGATCTGTCAGGTGTGCCGTTATTGAACTTTTTATGCTCATTGTGTGCTTACCTTGACTCACCTAGCATCCCCTTGGTGTAAAAAATACATATTGTTTGCGTTCTGTTGACCGTAGCAGGTGCTTCCCAAGTAGGCTTGCCATCAGCTATGTAAACTTTTTTTTTTAAAGTGTATTTCTTTTTTTTTTTGATTGATGACACAAGATCATATGAACTTCCTGGCTAACTGCTTGCTGTATCTTTGACGCTGTCTGAACGGAAATCACTGTGGCGCAGTCTGCATACAGCACGTGATGGCTTTGTGTAATTCTAGGGACAGGCTGAGAGAAGGTTTCAATCTAAATTGTTTTCTGAGTGACTGCTTTCTGTTGGTCTGCAAGTATGTGTGAGTGTTTGTAGACTCTCACCAATTTACTGGAATTTAAATTTCAAACGTGGGTTCTTGTAATTAGTGTTCATGAAACGCTTTGAAACTGAGCAAAGAGCTAACGTTCTACGACGTGTCCGCAGCCGGATGACTTCTGTTGTGTTGACACAGAAAACCACCTGCAGCGTGAATGTTAGATAACCATCCCACAATCATAACGCGGTCCTCTGCCCAGAGGGAGTAAAACTGGGCTGAGAGATAGGATGTCACGGGCTCCCCGTCTCGGAACGGATCCTGGAGCAAGGCTGAATGGTGATAGCTAGGGTTAGGGGTGCGTGAAGAAATCAAGAATTTATTTTTCTCGGTCTTGCTGTGGAAGTCAGTGAAGAGACACATCTGCGTGGTCCTGCACTTGGTGAGTCCTCTCCAAGATGTAGGTCGCAGTTACCTTTTACACACAAAATATCTGATACTGCGTTAAAAACAACTGTTTCTGATAGTGTTAGAGAAACTGAAAGTACATTTGGTGTTTTCACAATAATCTACTGTGTAGGAAAGTGGTGTAGTTCACACTAAATCTAATCACAACAAAACTTTACGTTTTACAGAACAGAACGAACGGTCATTGGGTGCAGTGGTTTCCATGGTGACTGCCTTACCCTTACTAAAATTATTGAAGCGAGATTAAAGGTAGGCAACTCACTGTATTTAGAAACTTACATTCTTAGTACTGCATATGAGACCGATAGTATGATATGTTTTAAATACAATTTTCACTGGTTTTCTTCACCTGTTTCTATCATAACTGTGGCTGAATTGCTAGTGAAGGATCAGGCAGGGGAAATTGATGCTGTGTTCTTACTAAGCGTAACATCACAAATTTAAAGGATGGAAGAGCTGGAGAGGGTAATGTTAGAGAGG